AAATAATTTGGAGTAATGTTTGAATACAGAATTCTGTACAATACTATATTGTCTATTGACTACCTTTTTATGTAAATTCTTAGCAAAGCTAAAACCAAAACAAAACTTATCTCCAGAGCAACAGTGATTCATACAATGAAAACATGAGCTATGGATCAAAGTTTGGGTACAACTAAGTGGTCAAGAAATTTAAGGTAATATTAAATTTATTTTAGACTTTTTGTTTAAATACAACAAATAAAATGAGAAATAATGGGTTTAGTGAAGACAGTCAGAGTGAGTCTAATAGACTCCGTCTAATTGAACGCCAGCGACAGCTCCTCGAAAGCAAACTCCAGCGCCAACACCAAGTGATCGCTACTACATCCCGACCTTCAACTGGCAGGTGAGTCACCAAAGAGACCTAGTTCCAATCGAAGCATTGTAGCATGTTAGCATGGTCATTTTATCACATTATCATTTCATATGAATTTTGGTGTCATATAAAGGACTGCGAAGTCAGCCCTTTCTGGTCAGCGATCGACTGAAAAACTCATTGATTTGGAAGATGTGGGCGCCGGTAATGAAACGGGTGGTGGTGTGGCCAACGCTGGCCAACTCAAGGGCGATGAATATGACTACTTTGTGAACAACGCTCCTAAAGACCACATGGGATCCATTGTGTCCCAAAAACACTCGACCCAACCACACATCCAAACCATTCAGACAGTGTCTCCTATATCTTCACCGCAAATATCATCAATCAGTTCCAAACCACAGATTGATCTTAAAGCGGGTTTTCAGATAAACAGATCCGACAAAAATACAATTCAAAATTTAAATATAAATTCAGACAAAAGTAATTCTACTCCAGATTTGGTTCAACTCAACCCTTTGAGTACAATATTAAGTAATGAAGAACTACTAGTGTTCGCAACGCAACCCATTTCCCCACAAACCACTCTTCAGTGCACAATAATTAGGGATAAGAAAGGTATTCATATGGCTATCAATACATCTATTAATTAATAAGATTCATCTATTTGTATAATAAGCTTATAGACAAACATTAAATATATTTAAATGTTAAACACAGGTCTCGACCGCTCTTTATATCCCACTTATTATATGCATCTCCAGGGTATGTATGCCTCCGACGTGTAGTCCTCATCACTTGATTCTTATAATTACTATGAATTTGCTTTTAAATACGCTCTATTAAAGCTGATATAAATTATATTAAAATTTAATTAATGGTAATTAACATTTGATTCAATTTGATAGCTATAGTCCCGAATACAGAGTTAGAAAAGAGTGATAAATCGAGTGAACAGTCGTCTCCCAAATCGAGTCTGGAATTAGTGAACATAACAAATGAAAGTTCATTGAACTCCAACTCCAACTCCAGTTCCAACACCAGCACTGATATGATTAAAGGCAACGACTCGGGAAGTCGAGGGCCTCACACTTCTTCGAATATCGGCGGTTATAGACAAGTGTTTATACTGTCGGGTCGGCGCCGCAAGAAAAGCAAGACTTATATCATAGGCAACGATCCCTTCGACATATCGCGCGGCAATTGTATCGCTAAACTCAAGTCCAATGTGTTGGGCACACAGTTCACGGCTATCAGGTTCTTGTCTACCAATCCTTATCGCAATTACATTATTTGAATCTATTTGTATCTAAAGTTAAATATATTTGTTAATAGAATCAACTCAGGCGGTCAGAGACAAGAAATTGCTACAATTATATATGTATTTCCATTCATCAATACTTTCAATTGGTTTGTAATTTTGATTATTAAATCAAATACAGGAAACAAATGTTCTCGGATTCAAAGGCCCGCGAAGAATGACTGCTCTCATCCCTAAATATGATCAGGTCTTCAATTTATTTACTATATAATTATGAATGTCATTTTCAAAACATAATGCTATTACAAACTTTTATTGTTTGACAATTATATGACAATTAGAAAATTGAGTTGTTTTTGAGAATTCAATTTGAGAAAGTATATGCAGTATAGTGGTATATTGGTAGAATCTATCATACAGTATATTACTTCAATTAAAATTCTTGTTAGAAACAGTATATACTATAAGAATTATATTTATAATGAGAATTACATTAAGATAATATTGATTATATATTGATATAAAACATTTGAATAAATATATGAATCATTTGACAGATGAATGCTTTAAAGAATTCGTCAATTTTTGAAGAGTGGAAACGAAATAATAAATCAATTCTGCAATTGAAGAACAAAACTCCCGTTTGGAACGACGGTATCATTACTTCATTGTTTACATCCATATTTAATATCACTTTTAATATCATATTCTTAATGATAACTCGTTTACAAATAACTCTTGAAGTGCTATCAACTTGATTTAAATTTTATACCAATAGAGNTCACTGTTGCTCTGGAGATAAGTTTTGTTTTGGTTTTAGCTTTGCTAAGAATTTACATAAAAAGGTAGTCAATAGACAATATAGTATTGTACAGAATTCTGTATTCAAACATTACTCCAAATTATTTAATACTAAGTACTAAATGCAAAATTTAATTAAACAATAAAATATTCTTTAAATTTGCAAATGGATGACACATACGAAACACATCCCATAAATGGTGAGATTCTTAGCCAAACACTCTAATGATATAGTGTTTCAAATGAGATTCTGGTATTAAAATACAAATTAACAATTCTAATACAGTAGTAAAAACTCTAGATTTTATTGAGAAATAAAATAAATTGAAAATATTTGTCAATACAATATAAATGATAAACATTTAGAAACATAATAACAAAGATGATTTATTAGAAAATGTAGTAATATAAATAAATCATTTATTTCTGGTAAGAGTTCTTTGTTTCTCAGCGAACTCGACAATCTTCTGGTGCACATTAAGTCCTTTTCGTCGACGAACGCCATTCATATACTTGAGGGCTCTGTTCTGAGTGTCACTCTTCTCACCAAAGTGTGTGTATTCCTCTTCAGTGGTGGGCACCCAAAACGGGTCCAACTCTATCACCTGAATTGGTTATAGATATTTATTTGGTCACATTCACACATTCATATGACATCATTTAAACAGTAATACTGTAGTAACAAAGCAATACATACCTCCCAATGACTAAAGACAAGCTGAGGACAAGCCTTTCCACTCGTTTGCTTTCGGATCTCATTTGCAAAATCAAAACTTTCGATTACAAATTTAAACAGTAATACTGTAGTAACAAAGCAATACATACCTCCCAATGACTAAAGACAAGCTGAGGACAAGCCTTTCCACTCGTTTGCTTTCGGATCTCATTTGCAAAATCAAAACTTTCGATTACAGGCAGAACTGCAGTCACGTTGAATACGGCTGAGCCCTCCTGGATGTCACCGTCCAGTACTCGACCATCACGTCGACCCAACACCGCATACATCTTACCTATCAGTCAGTTAATAGACAATACATTACTTATTAGAATACAATTATGAATCATTATTTATGATATATAACTACTATTCATAAAACAACATTAAATATCAAAAACTCAAGCTGACCATAATTCTAAAAACAATCAATACATTTGAATATACTGTAGATAAATACAAGTCAATACAAATCAAAAATAAATTGAAACTAATGAGCTAATATCAAAGTTAGCTTTATTTATTTATTAAACTCTAAATGTTATTTTCTTTGTATTGAAAGTTACTTCTTATGCTTAGAAAAAATTAAATAATGATTGCTAATTTTATTTCACAGTAATTATACAAAGTTTTAAGTATATTTTAATATATGAATTATTTTGTATTTTAGGGATTGAAAAATAGTTGCTTGTAAATAATAATATGCTTAAATAAGACTTATTACAGAATATAGGGTTATTCAACTATTGTATGCATGCAATGAATTCAATAAAATTTCAATTATTAGTCACATGACTGTATAGTAAATTATTTGGAAATACTCTGCATTCTTGAACAAATGAATGAAACAAGTTTTGAGTGAAATAGTGATTCTGTACTCAAATGAGAAGTGAATGAATTGGTATTGAAATGATAGGAATAATTGAAAGCAAATTATAATAAGGGCTATCAAAAGGAATTAATTGCCAAATGATTGGTGTATGAAATGATAGATGTATTGGTCATCTCATTGGTGTGTTGGATGACATCGCGTGTACACCATATGCTAATTGTGCGTCTGAATGAGTGCACCGGCAGTATATGGATGCCACTCCTGATCGTAAGAAAAATTCAAGGAGTGTAGCACTCATTGCAGGCGCAACTGCTGAAGCGCTAAGGAGGTTACGAGAGAGTGAGTGCCTTCAGCGCTGTCCACCCCTACAACAGGTGAGCGACGATTAGTTGTGCCATGAGTCCCCCAACGCACCCCCAATGCCCACCAACTTCTTACATACTCAGGCTCTCACACTCATCCAAACAGTACCCAGTACATTTGTCATCAATTTTATTTATATATCTTTCAAACTTATAACCATTCATTTGACATGTTACAACTTTTGCTATTTTATGGTCAACAACAAAACAATTGTAACATGATATATTTTCAAATCTACAATTAAGTGCTTACATAATGGATTCATTTATTAAATAAAATTATTTCAATTTCCATTGAAACTATTTTCATAATCATTTTAATATAATTTGTTTATTGCACATATTAATTTAATTTCCCATGTAGCTATATTTACTTATTAGTAATAGGTTATTACTATTAAGATTTGTTAATTTAATTCTTAATTCAATACACAAGGAATTAATGTAATTACTTTTATGTTGTTTCATGATTATGTAATATATTTAATTGAAAATATCTAATGGTCAGAATATGTGTGAGTTGAACCGTGGTTGTGCCTGATACGATTAGAGTTGGTGGTGTTGGTGTGGAGGCATTCATTGATAGCATTTTCATGTATTCCTACTATAATACTATTTGCTTCGTAGAGCCACTATAGTGACTACAGTATAGCCTGTATAGTATAGCTCGTATTTGGTATATAAGTAAAACTGGTGATAGTATGGAATCGTTGGGATTCTTGGTCTAAACTGCAGTGCTATTCGTGCTGTGAACTGAACTAAACAACTAAACCACTGAAAGCACTGAATTCCTGAATGGGTGCGTAAAGCAATTGAGGCAATCGTTAACTTACTTGTGCCACAACTGCCAGTCAAGCCTCAACTCAGCTCTTGTAGCTCTGGGAGCGCCGATAACAACCACTTCTTCACTACACTTCACTCCCCGACAAATGCATTCAAATCACACCAAACAGTCATTTGTTGAGTGACTCTCACATTGTTTTTGCTATAAATCTACTCATTAGACAAGGAATTGATTAATAAGTGGACCAACAAATGAATGTGACAGTAGCTCCCGGAGTCAAGCATTTGGCACCCAATTGCTCGAAAACTCTTATCCACGTCTTCTACACAGCTATGAGTAATACATTTGTCAGCAAATCATTGATAGTTTGCAAAGACATGAGAAGAACAAGTGAACAAAGCAAACAAAATGTGATTTTCGTAACTAATATCAAGTTTTTCAACAGTAATGTGTTTGTAATACTGCTTATATTAGCCGCTAATCTATTCAAACCTGTGGTCACTTCCAAGAACTCAATACACTATAACCGCAAAGTTGTCAATCATTTAGTTCGTGTCTTCTATCAATCCGGGGTAAGTCAACAACTTTTACTACAAATCCATTCAATTACGAAAGTTTCTATAGAAATGTTTTCATAAATTCACATTTCGTGTCAAATTATACCAAAGTTTCATTAGAATTTCATTCAGAAATTTCTATTTATTTGTATGCTATAAATAAACAAAGAAATGTTTGATTCTGTAAATTAATAGTTAACGAAACTTTTTCAATGTATATACTATTTATCAATGAAAACGTAAGTAATTGCAAAAATGTGCTCAACTATTATTCAATTGTAACCAAATATTAAATAATTTAATTAAAATTTAATTGACGTAAATTCGCGTCTTAAAAACAGTTTTTATAATTTGCTTATGAGTGAGTGAGTGAGTGAGTGTGTGTGTGTGTGTGTGTGTGTGTGTGTGTGAGTGAGTGAGTGAGAGAGACTTAAGGCTATTAACCAAAATAAGAAAATATTTTCACTACATTTCACTATTCACTCCCTTCGCTCACATTTATATACAAAACAAGCTTCCGGTGGAGAGAGAGAGAGAGAGAGAGGAAATAAATGTTTTGACTTAGAATTTGAATTACAATAAAAGCGAAGGACTTTTCAACGATTGAGAAAGTATTTGAAAAAATTTTACCCAAAAGAAGGCAATTTTACTCTAATGTAGCTGTAGTTGAGTTAATTGGTTTCACTTATTATTGCTTACCTAATAAATGTGTTCTCAAGGATAAACTGGCTTTTAGTCTCCTTAAGGCTATTAACCAAAATAAGAAAATATTTTCACTACATTTCACTATTCACTCCCTTCGCTCACATTTATATACAAAACAAGCTTCCGGTGGAGAGAGAGAGAGAGAGAGACGTGAAGGGCAGTGCAAATGTGGATAAGGAGCGCACCTTTTCTTATTAACATCTGAATAATATGAACGAAATATTTTTGAGTCTCATTTATCAACATTTAATCGATTCTTATTCTTATACTATACTATACAGTACTCGCATTTTACGAGTACAGAGTATAGGCTATAATATAGCTTAGAATAAATTAAAGGAAAACAGTTACAGCACTACAACACATATGTCTTCAATACTATCACTACATGTATTACCATAAGAGAGCAAAAGAGGCGCCAAAAAGTATCCAATCATTTGAAATAACAAATTCTGAACAATATTTATTCGGTATTAAACTAAGTTTATGGCATATTATGTATCCCATCAGAATATAAATTTTCTCCAAACCTAAGATTTTTTTGTGATTAACTTTCTGACAAAATATTCTTTTATAAGTTATAAATTATAAGTTTTAATTTTACCCAACTCACACAATGTTATAGCATTACCTATTAAAATAAGGAATGCATACCACAAATATTTGTAACTTATATCGCAAAGTGTCCATTAGTTATACCGGTACAATTTGAGAGAGAGAGAGAGAGAGAGAGAGAATACAAATAAGTCAATATTAATCAAAGTTGTGTTTAAACTTTATATTAAAGTCGTTTTTGACTCATTTTTATTGATCAATATAACGAAGTGATGGTTGTTTGGGGGCATTCGTGAGCGCAGTCTTAATATATCAATCGCTACTTTACTCTCCACTAGTCTTCTCAATACTTCCTATTTGTTATCACAGACTCTCATCTTAAACTCATCACAACTGATCACTCGTCCATTTTGTGGCATTTGTCCGAAGTATGAATACCTAACTATTTCTTATGTCGTGAAATGAGATGAAGACTTTCAATCCTTATATCTAACATTAAGACGGTATCAGATATTATACTCCAAATGCATCGATGCATTAGACTTGGAGTCCGCACTGATTTGGGCACAAATCGGTATTTTATAAGTTAGTTGACTATATTATTAAGGGGAATGGGATGTCATTAGTTGAATCATAAAATATTCTTGAAGTTATTAAAAAGCGAATCGTTATTTTAAATATTTATACAAGTATAAAGCAAAACGAGTGGAAAATTAAAATATTGTTTTTCGAAACTCCTTTTGCGTTGAGATAAATGTTTTGGTGATTATAAGGTATTATACAAAGAGATATATATTCTCTCACTTAATATATGTGACTCTTATAAGTTATAACTATTTTTCATGTTTTCTATACTTGAGGCAAATCGAGATTTACATCAATTTGTCACAAATAATTTGATTTTTGAGTGAAAAACAAATTATGATTTAATAGAGAGAAAGACAGCTATTCAAGTGTTTCATCGATTTATGTACAGAAATATAATATTAGCCGTAAAGAAGTAGGAAATGAGGAAATGATTGGAGAGAGAGAGAGAGAGAGAGAGAGAGAGCACATATTTATTTTGTTCAGAACTCATGCGAATCTAAACTATCAAAAATGAGAGAAAATACATAATAAAATAAAATTGAAATAAAACATTGATACGATTTTTGCTTATGAAATGTTTCACGCTTTCATATCTTTGTATTTTAACTAATTTTATGGAATTTTTTGATCGCATTCCATTCACTCTTCCAATGAATTCATGCATAAAATTCTTGTGATAATTAAATCAAAAACACAAGAGTTTTCTAATTAATTGGAAACATATTAAACATGTATGAAATGCATATGTCATCCATCATAATATTCATGTTTGTATTCATATTTTCATATTATTAAAGTTTCTTATCTCACAATAAAAAATTGATTTTTTGTTTTTATAGTGTATTATTTATTTTAAAGATTTAATACATAGTATAACAAAAATAATAGATAGCAAAAAATATTGTATATAAAAAA